CTCAGGAAGGGTCTCCACTCTCAGGAAGGGTCTGCACTCTCTCAGGAAGGGTCTCCACTCTCAGGAAGGGTCTGCACTCTCTCAGGAAGGGTCTCTACTCTCTCACCTTGCTACTGGCACACAGTGACTTAACCAAAGGGATCTATAGAAAGAATGGCTTGGGTGCCAATGGCAACTGGAGACGGATTCATGGAACTGAAACATCCAGTGAGATGGGGACAGTTCCTGAGTGGGTGTGACAAAGGGGAAGTCTAGTATGAGGGTGCCTTAAGAGAAGCCACTACAAGAGTGACATTCTCTCAGTTTAGACTCCAGTTGCCTCTTGAAATGCAAGATGGTGTTTTCCAGAACCTCTTCCTTTGGAGAAGCAAGAGGGAAGTCTTACAGCAGCCAACTCAACAAATACACCCTTGCTGCCAAGTGTGGTCTAGAGCCTCAGACAGATGAGCGAGTTGGGGGAAGCTCTGGCTGAAGCTCCAGGGAACAGCACTCAGGCAACTTTGGTTTTGGGTCACACTTCCTGAAGCTGTTATTCAAGACCTGAGTTGGAATCAAGACCTGGAAACCCAAATCCACTGGAGGTGAAAACACTGATGTAGAGTAGGCTGAATGAATATTAGATGCCATGACCATGGTGGTAAGATTAGGGAAGGGATTGAGATAAAACAGTAGAAGTCCATCCTCTGCAGGCCCCATCTGTCCAAACCTGGCATGTAAAAATAGCTCTTCACTCTGTTCCTGTGGGTAGGAAGCCACACAGAGATAGAGAGATGGCTGGGACATTTAGATAATGAAATAAGAAAAACAGCTTTGTGGGGCCACATTCCCGATAGTGAAAATCAGTCAGAAATCCCCTGAGTGGCCGCAGGAAACATGTGGCACACTCTGTCAGTGCACACACTCACCACGGTCCATTCAGCTGTGGTTAACACCTGTGACTGAGGAAACAAATACAACTGCATTCTAGTTTATTTCTCAGTCACAAGAAAAGGAAGGAAAGAGGAGAGAGGGAGGGAGGGAGGGAGGGAAGGAGGGAGGGAGGGAGGGAGGGAGAAACTAGTACCCTCACCAGCATGCCTTCTGAGCACTGATGGTGGGCACTACATCTTGGGGATCTTGCTTGCATTAACCAGAGAGAGCCTGGAGTGACTCAGCAGAGCTACCTGCTGACTTAACTAACAACTGACAAGACAGGGACAAGCAGCACCTAGAGAGAGCAGCTCAACTTATCCCACCCACACTGCATACACCCATTTCTCGGTGGAATGATAGGCATCATGAAATGCATTTGCTCATTTTAGATCATTCCATTTTAACTTTTCCACACATACTCATTCTTTTCCCTAGTCTCTCCTTCTCTTCTATGGGCCAATAAAATCTACTCTCTCTCCTCTCACAACCCGTTTTGTATGTTTTGTATCATGTCATAAAAGGCAAGTATGTGCACATCTGCCATCCAGTCAAACCCCGTCCTTTGAGCAAGAAAGATTCTTCGGTCACATAAAAGAGCAAATAAGAAAGAGAAATTAGTGCTTAACATCAACAAATGGGCTGGTCC